TTTTTAATCTCTATTAATTAATTTGTAATATTAAACTTTTGTCACGATTTGCATTTAATTTGTTTTAAAATTTCCATTCATTTCCTGTTTTATTAAGTAAATTTTTGTAATTTGTTTATGTTGTAATGGCGGTATCTTGTCATCGTTGTTTAATCTGTGTATTTTTAAATAATTATTTCACACGAATTATTTCATAACTATTCTCATAGTTTTAACTTGAAAAATCTTGAATTTGTCATTATAAGAATAATAAGTGTATTTTTTTCCTATTTTGGTCATCAGATTATTATATTACTTTTTTAAATTGCAATATTTCAGAGATTTTTGCATTGCAGTTTTGCTAAAATCTTTATTATTTTTAAAAAGAAAATTGTCCTTCGAAAGCATTATATAGCGACTGCCGGACAAAACCTAAAAAGCACTTCTTAAATACTAGAAACTGAAATTCAGACTCCAATAGTTAAATTAAGTTTAACTAAACTTATATTAAACTGAGTCTAACTTAAAATCCATAAACTCCAGTTATTTTCTTCTATAAAGTGTAACCATTTTCTAGGGTTTCTCTCTATTACATTACAAACCTTTGAAATTAATTTCTCTTGAAAACCAAAGTAGTTTTTTAATAGAATTGAACGGTTTGCGTATATTTCTTAGAATTTAAAATTAAAAGACAAGCATTCAATCAATTTAAGTAAGAAGTGCTCTATTTATTTCCCCCTATACATTAAAAAGGGAAAAAGGAGGGAGGAATGTTATCCAAACCTGTAGCAAATTATTTTAAAAAACACCTTTACAATATGTATATGTAGGTGTATTTCTGCATCCAACTATATATCAAATTGTTGTGTTGTTGCCGTACAATTAAAGTACGCATTGACCCAAAATGTTACGACCGTAATCACTTTAACTGGGGGCTTTTAAATGCATTAAATATTATTGCAAAAAAAAAAAAGTCACCAAGAAAAACAACAACAAAGACAAAATTATAACGACTTTGGAAATAAAAGAGGTTGTTAAGTGAAAAATTAAATACACTTGAATATTTGAGCTGTTCTACTTGTGTTGCTGTTGCTCTATTGTTGCCATGCAATTGTCATTGTTGTTGTCTGTATGTCAGTTTATTTGTAATTTTTTTTTTCAATTTTTTATTTTTTGTAAATTTGAGTTCTTTAGTTAAATACACAGAATCATCCGCATTTCTGTTGTGATGTACTTATTGTCTACCCAGTAGCCCAACCAAATGACAGTCTGTCTGACTACTGCCATCATCACTAGTTGTGTAAATGTTACAATTATACATAAATTGGATTGTTTTCATTTGTCAAAAAGATCTTTTTTTAATGACAAAATTCTTGGTTTCGTATTTTTTTGTATATTCTATAGTCTAGTCTATAGTCTAGTTTAATCTATAGTCTAGTTTATAGTCTAGTTTATAGTCTAGTCTATAGTGTAGTCTAGTCTATAGTGTAGTCTATAGTGTAGTCTATAGTTTAGTCTATAGTCTAGTCTATAGTCTAGTCTATAGTCTAGTTTATAGTCTAGTCTATAGTCTAGTTTATAGTCAAGTCTATAGTCTAGTCTATAGTGTAGTCTATAGTCTAGTCTATAGTGTAGTCTATAGTCTAGTCTATAGTGTAGTCCATAGTCTAGTCTATAGTCTAGTCTATAGTCTAGTCTATAGTCTAGTCTATAGTCTAGTCTATAGTCTAGTCTATAGTCTAGTCTATAGTCTAGTCTATAGTCTAGTCTATAGTCTAGTCTATAGTCTAGTCTATAGTCTAGTCTAGTCTATAGTCTAGTCTATAGTGTAGTCTATAGTGTAGTCTATAGTCTAGTCTATAGTCTAGTCTATAGTCTAGTCTATAGTCTAGTCTATAGTCTAGTCTATAGTCTAGTCTATAATCTAGTCTATAGTGTAGTCTATAGTCTAGTCTATAGTGTAGTCTATAGTCTAGTCTATAGTCTAGTCTATAGTGTAGTCTATAGTCTAGTCTATAGTCTAGTCTATAGTGTAGTCTATAGTCTAGTCTATAGTTTAGTCTATAGTGTAGTCTATAGTCTAGTCTATAGTTTAGTCTATAGTCTAGTCTATAGTCTAGTCTATAGTCTGGTCCATAGTCTAGTCTGTAGTCCAGTCTATAGTCTAGTCTATAGTCTAGTCTATAGTCTAGTCTATAGTCTAGTCTATAGTCTAGTCTATAGTCTAGTCTATAGTCTAGTCTATAGTCTAGTCTATAGTCTAGTCTATAGTCTGGTCTATAGTCTAGTCTATAGTCCAGTCTATAGTCTAGTCTATAGTCTAGTCTATAGTCCAGTCTATAGTCTAGTCTACAGTCTAGTCTATAGTCTAGTCTATAGTCTAGTCTATAGTCTAGTCTATAGTCTAGTCTATAGTCTAGTCTAAAGTCTAGTCTATAGTCTAGTCTATAGTCTAGTCTATAGTCTAGTCTATAGTCTAGCCTATAGTCTGGTCTATAGTCTAGTCTATAGTCTAGTCTATAGTCTATAGTCTAGTCTATAGTCTAGTCTATAGTCTAGCCTAGTCTATAGTCTAGTCTATATTCTAGTCTATAGTCTCGTCTATAGTCAAGTCTATAGTCTAGTCTATAGTATAGTCTATAGTCTACTATATACTATAGTTTGTAGTCTAGTCTATACTATATAAAGTTTTTTAGTGGATTTTACAAAAACCTTAATCTGACAGTTTCGAGCGGTTTTTGTAACATTATTTGACGGGAAATGTTTAAAAAATTGGCAACACTGCACGTCCTTAATTTGACTGCTTTGTCAAGTCTGCGTGTGTGTGTTTGTGTCAAGTCAGTAAAGTGTCTTCTTCTTTTTTCATTCTTTGTTATTAATCCTTTACAATTGATTAACATTCAATTTCCTAAGGGCATATTATATTTGAAATATCAAAAGGAATTTTAAGAGCAGTCAGTTGTAATAACATTTATATTTACTGGGGATTTCCTTTTATTTATTAAAAAGTAATAAAATGAAAAAAGAAATGCGGTTACACAAAGTTATTTTTCGTTTGCATGCCAACAAACCATAACATTTTGAGGTCGTATTTTAGTTTCCAACACCCTTCTTTCAAGAAAACCAAATAAACAAATTGTAGAAAAAGGGGAAACTATAAGCCTTTTGATGTTCAAAAATAAAACAAAAATATAATTTTGATTTAAAAGAGGCGTTAAAATAAAACAAAATAAAGCTGTTTTAGTGAGAAGTTGATATATTTGTTGCAGAGGGGAAAATTTGGAACAGTAACCTGTTAAGTAAATATAAGAAATTTGTTTATGAATAACTAAGTTGTAATATAATTAAGTTAATATTAATAATTAATGCCTTTTAATGTTAATTAAAATTTTAATTGCAATAATTAAACTTTTGTATTCTTGTGTATTCTTAGAAAAACATTAACATTTTTTGACCCACACAGGGGAATAGGTAAAAGATAGATTACTAGTAAAGGCAAAGCTATAAACTTTTCCCATCTTTCTGGCAACACTTAGAAACCCCTACAAGCAAACTTTCTAGAACACAAACTAATTAATCCAATTTCTAAGCATAACCGAGAGCTTGAGAGGGTTCTGCATTGATCAAAACAAATCGCAGACGGGCGGGGCAAAGTCTGGGCTATAAGGCAAAACTTTTTAAATAGGTATTGCAACATCCGAACGTTGTCATTACGTTTTCATGACTTCTAACATTTGACCTCAGAACTTCCTTCCTGCTCATACTAAATATAATTAAAAATTTCGTAAATTTAATTACATTTTTTAATAAATTTTCCAAAAATAAAACAAACAAAGAAATCTAAAAATAAATTTCATTTATAGCCAAAAACTGACATGCTTGCTGCCTTCTTGACAGCTGAAGCGTATGATTAATAATTATTTTTTATTATTCTCCCATATACTCAAGTGTTGGAATACAACATGACGTATAAGTGACATTATTTTTAATACAATATTGTATTTTTATTACTTATAGAACACGTTACACTTATCAAAAATAATTGTAGATATGTTTATGAAAAAAAAAAAAATATTATAAAAATATATGAACAAACATTTGTATCTTTAAAGTACAATAAAAATATGAATGCATTCATGTGTAAAAAATAAGAAACAAAATATTAAAACAATGTGTAACAACAAATGACCTAGTTTTGAGGCAATATCTATGAGATGAGTTGGAAAAATGTTTATATTAAGAAAAAAAGAAATATTATATTAAACAAAAATGTGTCATATTTGCATGTAGTATTAACAAAATAATGTTATGATAAAATGAACATTATATTTAATAAATATTTTTTTTTTATATTTGTAAGAAAAATTTCTAGGAAAATTTAATTATGTCGAAAATATTTTTCTAAAGATAAAGTGTGTTATTTCGATTAAATTTTATATGGTTTTATTTAAAAAAAAGGTCCCTTTTTTTGGTCCACTTTTAGGCTCTTTTAAACTAAACTTCTTTAATGTTCTATATTTATTGCCGCAAATCAAAACAAACTTTCTAGCTTTGTCTGTAATTTTACCCCACTTGAGGCTATAATAATTATAATTAAAAGTTTGTTAAGTTTAAATAGAAAAACCACCAGAAAACTGTGGCCTATTTAGTTTGCTGTTCTAGATTTTTATTTAGCCAAAAGTACTTGTTATTTGTTTATAATTATCACGCTTTAAGCCATTTTTAAATAAAAAAAAATGTTCAACATTTTAATAATATTTGTATTTATTTTGTAATATTTGTTTACTTCCCCACAGATAAAGCAAAAAAAAAAAAAAGTGCCAAATAAATTTACTACTTGTTATTGTGTTATTCACGGC